ATGTTTTGTTACACCAGCGAGAGGAGCTGCAATGATTTGACATACTTTCTGAAATCCAGCAGGTAGCTCCTGTCCTACCTGCTTATGCATAACAAGCATGAATGTCACATAAACCCTATTTTGACATAATCCAGTATACTGCTACAGTTACATGTTGACAATGTATATTTTTCATACAATATAAAATACACAGCCAGTGCTCTCACTCTGTTATTTTTCTTGTACTCACAAAAACCTTAATCAGACAGTGTGAGCATAACAATATTATAACAATTTAGAATATAAGTATATAGTAAAAAAAGATTAGACCACTCAAAGCGTCAATCAGTCACTGCTGATCCCAAATTATGTATGAATGCAGTCAGCCTTGTGCAGTGAATGTGGAAGATTTATTAGAATAATCTGTAAAAAATTAAAGGACAGTATCTCCAGAGTTCACACACACACACACACACACTCATACATACATACATACATACATATCAGAGCACAGTGATAAAGACCAGAATGCAGACCAGTCTTAAAACATACTATTTCTTCTCAGAGAAGTGTTCCTCATTTAGCTTTTCTCCTGGTTAACCTTGAGCTTGGCACCTTTCAGAGTGTAGCAGAGGGCGTCTCAGCATAAACTGTCAGCACCACACTGTGGGGATAATAAGGAGGTCCACACCAACTTCTGTTGTTGGCCTCACAAGTCCACCTAAACCTTTCTGTCACTGTAATTATCACTGATTCAATACATGAAGATATCTGCAAATATCTGTCCCAGTTATACAGCTTATATTGATGCAGATGGTAAATACTTTCCTTTCATTTTGACCATATTTTAATATATATATATATATATATTTTTTTTTTTATTGAAGATCTATTTTTAAATTTCTATTATTTATTATTTATTAAAATTCTATTTCTATCTGATTCAAAATCCAAAGACAGACCCTACTAAGGGTTAATATATATATATATATATATTATATGTTGTTTAATTCAATTTAAGCAGTCTGATATCTTAAAACAAGAGTAGTGTAGTTACTACCTGCTCCAATCAGCTGTGTTTGTAAGAGTGGGTGTATAGATACCTCATATGTTGTTTTTTGCTGCAGGTCTTTCTGACAGTGAGTCAGCACTTTGCTTCATAGAGCCTACACCACAGTCATGCTTCCCTCTAGTGGTAATAATAAATGAGACTCCCAACTCATTACAGGTTAGTAGATGATGGCAAGCTACAATGAACCTGCAGGATAAGGCTGGGAAAAATATCAGATCTGAAAGAAAAACAAACAAAAACAAACAAACAGACAAAGCAAATGTATGATCGTAGAATGAGGATCCTTTCAACATTTTACTTTTAATTTACAACTAATTCCCAGGTTTCACTAAAGAGTCCTTTTTTTATGCTTTTCAAACAAATAGCAGTTTAGATTACTTTGATCCCAATAGCACTTTGTCAAGAACACTGTATGTAGATGTGGCAGCTATAAATTGTACTCTATGTCACCATCTGCTGGACAACAAATGTCAAAACACATTGTTGGATCAAATCACCTGTAAAATATCCACTCTATACTATATATTAACAAAAAATGTGTATTTGAATTAAATTGAGTATAAAGTATGAAAATGTCAGTTGTTAATTAAAACATGTACCTAACAATAAAACAGAGAAAAGGCAAAAATCGATCTTATAAATGTCTTAAAATAAATGAATCACAATTTAGGCCTAATTTATAACTAGTTTGGATGATTTGACTGTTTTTCAGAGAAATGTAATCATGTGCTTCAGGCAATCTATATGTAGTACAAAGGTCTGGAAACAAACTT